CTGGCCCTCATATGTGGGATCCGAACCGGGGCCCTCTGGCATCCCAAGCGAGTTCTTAACCATCGCGCCACTCGGCCGGCCCTGTTTGTTGATTTATTGATGATGCCATTCTGACAGGTGAGATTGTGGTTTTTGTTTGCATTTCTCTGATAATTAGTGACATTGAGCACCTTTTCATATGCCTATCGGCCATCTGTGTGTCCTCTTTGGGGAAATGTCTATCTATTTAGGTTCTCTGCTCATTTCTTAATTGGATTTTTTTTGGTGCTAAGTTGCACAAGTTCGTATATTTTGGATATTAAGCCCTTTATAATAGGTTGTATTTTGGTGTTGACGGTTTACCTTGCTGTGCAAAACTTTATTTTGATGTGGTTCTATTTGTTTCTTTTTTCTGTTGTTTCTCTTGCCCAGAGACATATTGAAAAAGATATTACTAAGTCGGATGTCAAAGAGGTTACTGTCTGTTAACCTCTAGAAGTTTTATGGTTTCAGGCCTGACACAGAAGTCTTTCATCCATTTTATTTTTATATATGGTGTAAGGAAGTGGTAGTTTCATTCTTTTGCCCATCTGTCTACTCTTCCCAGCACCACTCATGAAGAACCTGTCTTTATTTACCCTGTTTGTATGTCCTCACCTCCTTCGTCAAAGATTAATTGAGCACATAAGCATGGGTTTATCTCTGGGCTCTATTCTGTTCCATTGATCTGAGTGTTTTCATGCCAGCACCGTACTGCTGATGCCTGTAGCTTGTAGTGCAATTTGTTAGCAGGGTGCATGATACCTCTCACTTTGTTCTCAAAATTTCTTTGGCTATGTGGGGTCTTTTGCGGTTCCATATAAATTTTAGGATTAGTGGTTCTGGTTCCGTGTGTGTGTGTGCATGTGCACCCACAGTGGTTCATGCCAGAAGAGTTTAGGAAATCAAGCCCTTTGTGATGGCCTCTCTCTGGCCAGCATCTAAGTCTTGTAAGTGGCTTTCAGGTGTTTCCACCCATTTCCGTGTCACACATGGACCCTGAGCATGGTTGAACCAATTGAATGTGGAAAAAGTTGGTTCCTTGTGATTTTTTTTTTTT